CTCCTAAGAAATCTGAAGAATTAAATTGGCCACTCTGAGGACTAAGTGTACATAAAAATCTGATCTCCAGCAAAGAAAGAAATAAATTTAAAAAAGAACAAAACAAACTTGCTACAGAAAGCATACGGCCAAGGAAAAACAAGAATTGGAAAGGGGCCTCACAACTGGAGGGACCAGTTTCTTATGGGCAGATAAAAACTACGACCAGACCTACGACAGCAGTAGAGAGACGTACCCAAAGCCCCTCAGCTGATTGCTGTCTCATTTGTTTTTCAAGAGTAAATGAAGGGTTGTAGTAATACCGGGAATAGTATCAGTAATTTAGTATTTTACTAAACATGCTAATTCAATGGCAAAACTCAGAACTCTGAATAACCACTCAATAACCCTTTTTTGTTTTGTTTTGTCTTGCCAGGTAGAGGAAGTAGGGAAGGTTCCTGTCAAAATCTCTTTTCCAGAAATGTTGGAAAATAAAAATAGAAACTTAACACAAAAGCTCAAGTACAGCTATGTACAGGTAGTCCTTGACTTACAGCCACAACTGAGCCCAAAATTTATGTTGTTAAATGAAACATTTGTTAAGTGAGTTTGCCCCATTTTCTAACTTTTCTTGCCACAGTTGTTAAGTGAAATGCTGCAGTTGTCGAGTTAGTAGCAAGGTTGTTAAGTGAATCTGGCTTCCCCATTGACTTTGCTTGTCAGAAGGTCGCAAAAGGTGATCACATGACCCCAGGTCACTGCAACCGTCATAAATATGAATCAGTTGCCAAGCGTCTGAATTTTGATCATGTGACCATGGGGATGCTTCAAAGGTCGTAAGTGTGAAAAGTCACTTTTTCTGTGCCGTTGTAATTTAGAATGGTCACTAAATGAACTGTTGTAAATTGAGGACTACTTGTACTGAATATTGATTGATTGATTGATTGATTGATTGATTGATTGATTGATTGATTGATTCGATTTATATGCCGCCCTTCTCCGGAGACTCAGGGCGGCTTACAATACATTAAGCAATACCAACAAAGGTGATGCAAAGAAGGGAATTGTCCACTCAAACATTAAAACATCTCTTCTTACTCTAAATAAGACTAACAAATGATTATACTTCCCTCTCATATTTGGAAAAAAAAAACCTCCCAAACAAACTATGAACATTATTGTCATCCAAGGCCTTAGGCTTTAGCAAAAAGGCTTTGATATAATTTTTTCAAACATACCATCTGTTCAACAAATATACTTCAGTTATATGAGCATTTTATGAATAATAGATCATGGAAATAGATATTGTATTTGCATAAATAACTGAACACAAAAATATTCCAGTAATGTAGCACATTAAATAGTTGAATAGTTGTTGGGATATGTAATGCAAAGATCTACACTGCACACACATATATACATGGTTTTAAAATTTTAAACCAGACCTTATATTATAAAAGGAGTTATATACGTAACTCTGTGGATGGCATACACATTAACAATCAAGTCCTCATTCCCTGTCCATCTAAGAGGGCAAAGAGGAGAAAATGAATGCAGGATTTGAAACCAAATTAGCTCTCCCACAGGATCCAATTAATAGACTGTCTTGAACAGTCTATCAAAAACAACGATAATCTAGTTTCTGAAAAACAGATGAAACAGCCATAGTCAAAGTTTTTCAACATTAGGGTAACTAAAAAAGAGTTGAATATGTGCCAACTTTCTCAAAGCCTATTTCCTTAGTCTTGTACAAAGTGCAGAAGAATAGCTGTATCATTTCTGATCTTATTTGGAAGGAGTTTTGTTTAGAAAGAACTAAGAATGATCTTGAAAACACAAAGATACAATGGCAGAATTCAACCACAGGCGTTAAAAAAGTGAACGGGACAAATCCTGTCTTAAGCTCTGTTTTTTGACATTATTCTGAATATTCAAAATCAGGGCTTGCAAGACATTGGCTACAATGTGAGAAATCAGGAATTAGCCAGTTACATTCGAGCTCAGGGCTAAGGCTGATCTTAAAAATATGAAACAAATATATGTTTGCATAAGAAGTGATAGGAGCCAACTGATCATTTAATATGTGCTGCTTCATGTTCTAATAGCAATAGTAACTTCTAAATGAAGTTGTAGAGATTTCTTTCCCAAATTCATTCTAGTCTGAAAAACTAATTGGGAATTGAAAAGGGAAACCTTAACCCCTTCCCTTGAAACAATAAAAATGGACTGAAAATGTAGGTCTCACCCACTCCAGGGATCAAAGCTACAAGGAGCAATTGGGGATATACCGGTATGAACAGTCAATAGTCTGCCTAAACAACTGATCCACACAAAAATGAGCTTTCTCACTTCAAGATATTCTGCTTATCAAAATACCCAGACTGATGTCTGGTGATGTTCCAATCAGAGCTTATTCAACTGCTATGTTCACTTCAATCAACGTATACCTTTTCAGGTGCAAAGGTTCTGTTTTAAATGCTGTAGTTTATTAGAGTGTTTTGCAGCACTCTGAAAGCAATCCATTTACATCCATTTAAGAATAATTATAAACAAATAAAAATAGTATTGTTCCATTAATTTACCTCCTTCACAATAAATATTAAACACGTGGAGAAGCAGCACTCATCCAATTATGTTAGAGCAATTAAATAATTATCAAGGAGGAGGGAAAGTGTTCAGCAGCACTGAAAATACTGAAGGAGGGCAGTATACCTACAATAAAAGTTGTTTTAAAGCAGCTGTGGTATAACAGTTTCAGACAAACCAATATCACAAAGTCATGAACTGACTTTTGAAGTCAACATTATTTGAGAAGGAATCCCCAAGAAGAATCATATGCATACTTATACACAAAAATAGCCATTGAAACTTACCAATAAAATCTGTTCACAAAAAAGCTTCTTAAACATCATGAGTTAGAGCCAGCTTGTAACTAAGTCCAAGCAACAAAGATTAGTCATAGTATGCTAACTCCATAATTCTCTGAAAGTTGTTGACACAAAACTTATCTTATTCATGCCAACCATCTGAGTTCACAAGACTTCATTTGACCTTGAATTCCATATCCTGCTTCAGAGCGCCATGTTCAGTAAGATAGAGAGATGGTTCAGTTTCAATTAACATGGAGCTAAAAATTTAGTTGAAATTGATCCATTGCCAGATTTTCATCAACCTTGAAATTATAATTTAAAAATGCAATTTATGATTTGCAATATTAAAATGGTCTAAGAATCCATCAGGAAAAATGTCTTTAACACCCTTCATATGCCACAGCTTCCAAAAATAGCCACTTTATATCATCTGGAATGGGATTAGAGTATATAAATAAACATTTTTCACCCACAAAATAAATTGCCATTAAGCTTTCTGTTATTTTTTAAGTATTAAGAACCAAGTTGAATATTTGCTTCATGCAGCTAATCCACAGCTGTTCTCTACCAAAGAAGATACTTCGTTATGAAAATGTAATTAATAGGGACCACATCTTGGCTTGGAAAGCAAACAGCATTTAGTCTGAATGGGAATTAAAATAGAGCAGTTGAGAAACATCTCCGAAGAAGGTAATAACAAGCCACTTCCTCACTGTAGCCAAGATATCCATGAAGTCATTAGGAATTAAAGTTGGATTGGAGGAGATTCATTTTAATAAACAGAAGTAGCTGAGACATTTCATGATATCTTCTAGTGCTGAAGACTCTAAAACCTTCAAAAATGTCAGAGATGAAACCTGCGGCCTTCTATATCCACATCACATCTACTACCATCTCAATGTTTACCAGTCTATTTTTCTCTTATATAAGTTACTGAGAGATGGTGGGTGGGGGTAGGATAACGCATCCTCAAATAAAAATATAGCTTATAAGTAGCACAATAATCAAAGTAAAAGGACCACCTGTATTCATTCTAGTGATACCATTTTATCATCTAAAGATTTTCTTCAACCTTTACCACCAGACAGGAAAGTAAGTTGCGATCCCCAACCCATTCTTGATTTGGTTATAACAACAATGGAATGGCTACCACCAATAACTATTCAACAAAAATCCCCATAAATAGTAGTCTAATAAATAGCAAGTATATTAAACTGAATGATTGGCTTGTATTCTTGTATATATGGGTATGTCAATTTGATATTAACTTACCTCATATCAGCGATGAATTCCCCGCAACAATAAATCAGTATTTTTTAAAGGCACTATTTTTAACAGTTTGCCCTGGTAATCTAGTTCCCACACAACACTAATATATAAAACATGATTTCATATATTATGTAACACAAAAAAAAATGCCAATTTTGTCTTATGTTTAAGTACTAGACTAGTACTTGGCTAAACTCTATACATGTACACCAAAACGTTTCTCTCCATTTTCATTTTGATCACCATGGCTTACAATGACTCACAAGTACTGTACTTCTAAAATTCCAGAATTACCAAAATTATGAATATAATTCTGGATAAATGTGGCTACTTTTATTACATTTATATATCAGAAAGTAAACTTCCTATTATCTTTACATTAAAAATAGAAGGAATATTTTCAGGCATAGAAAATATTGAAAATAATAACTTTAAATGGATATACTTTTGCAGGATACTGTTTATTTGTTTATTTATATAACTGTTTATTCACCCTTATATAACACTGATTGTATACATTAACATAGCATTTTTGTGTGTAATGCTAAACCACGATAGTCAACCATGATTTGTTGGGTCTCACAGAACATAAACCATCCAACTGATCCAATTGGGGAGGGGCAAATATAATGTAGTGATTGTTTTCTCCGATATGTTTATTAGCTGTGCAGGGCAGATTTGTGTGAGCCCAGGAAACATAGCACTTCCACCCGCTATTTCCACAACAGCAACTCTATGAAATAATTGCGATGGAGAAAATGACTGACTCAAAGTCACCCAATCAGCTTCTGTGGCTGATCATAGACTAGAACTTGAATCTCCCATGCACCAGCTGTCCAGTTACACCCCACTTTAGCTTTTCCCAAAGCATGAGCAACTTACCCTTACAAGACTTGGAGCAATAGATGAGCAAGGTATCTTCACATATTTCAGGCACTTCTCATGAGACATAAAATTGCAAACTGTGGAAAACAAATATACATGTCAATTAGTATTAAGAATCAGAAAAAGGTCCCACTTAGCCCATTTATTACGATTCAATAATGTGCTGTATGAATTAATACATTCTTTTACCTGTCTTGATTCTCCTGACAATTAGCTTTATTGGATGATGCTTAGTACAAGTAATATGAAATATGGAGAAAAACTTATTATTATCTTTACTCAATGAATAAAAATCTGTGAAATATCCTTGAAGAGTTAAAAACTGCTTTATCTCCCTGATTCTTTAAGTTAATTTTTTGTATAATTTTTTTTTCTGATATCCATGAACCAGAGGTATATATAATTTTCCAGTACGCCATTGTTTTAAGATTAGCATTATAATCTTGAATGTTTTATTTTCAGTTTCTTTTTCTAAACCGACCTTGAATCTATCTCTTTCACAGCATTCTACGCTCTTCAAACTACAAGTAAAAGATATATGTGGCAATATAAACTCAGATGAAAATCCAATTTCTCTCATACTGTGATCTCTTCAGCATAACATACTGTATAAGATCTTGAAATTATCAGCTACTAGACAGAGAAACATTTTTTTTTCTGATTTGTAGATGTTAAGATGAAGTACTGGAACAGTTAATTTTTCCTTTCCAGTTTGTTTTACGTCATGCTGATTAAATTCTCTGCCAGCTAAAGTAACAAGCAAAAAGAGGATAACATAAAATTTTGTAAAAGTGTTTGGTTCGAGTAATCACTTGAGAACCCTGAAATGTAATTCAAGAAAGCCAAAAGCAGAATAGAGGAAAAGGTATTAAAGTCTTAAAATGCATAGGTTTTATTCTTTGCTGTAACACTTTAAACCAAGGGGTTTTAAATTCTTACAGGATGCAGAACCTGTTGATTAAAAAAAAAAAATCTGGAATGCCTGGTTCAAGAGGGGTGAGGGCTTCTGACTTTCTCCATTAGAAGCTAAGGTTTGAAAAATCCTCCTTTATTCCAAAGTTGATTTCATATAAGAAGGGTTGCTATGGAACAAGAATAATTTGGCACTCAAAAAGGGCAATTTTCAAAACTTGCTATATCCAAAAGAATAGTTTTATAAATGTCAAAACAAAGACTAACATTTTTGTCTGGCTTAGGAAATCATGCTGATATAAACACAACTTCTGTTGAAATGTTTGGGAAAGCAAGTTTACAATACGATATAAATGTGCCATTTTAAGTATATATTTACTCATTATTAGCATGATTTTGACTGAAATTCAGAATCAGGATTCTTTTCTGAGACCTTCCTCTCACAGCTATTAATGAGCAAACAGGCTGTTTTTCTATAATGTAGTGGATGACCTCAGAAAAACGACACATTACTATCATTTTTAAAAACAATTAAGTGAAACAGAAGAGAATATTGCCATAACTACCCACATATTTTTTTTAAAAAATGTGTTAAACAAAAGCTACAAAATACACATATTTTACATATATATCCAGATATAGGTTTCACCAGTGGTGAAATCCTCCGCGGATTGCCACCAGTCCGCTGCCTGTGCATGCGTGGCGCACGTCAAAAGCATGCTGTGAGCACATGCACAGTGTGCACCAAACAAGCGCTTTGTGTGAAAATAGGAGGCTTAGCAAGGTCAGTAGAACTGTGGGGGAGGACAGCTGTGCCGCGCGATTTAGATTCGCTAGAAAGCAGGATTTCCTGTTTCCTGTGTGGCACAGCTGCTCCTAGCTTTTTTTTACTACCGGTTTGCCCGACCCAGTGCGAACCGGTAGCATTTCACCCCTGGGTTTCACCCATAATGGCTGGATGAAAGGGCAGAGAAAGAAAAATGTCTCCCCACGGATGCATGGGTGGTTCGGGAATCCTGGGAGTTGAAATCTACACATTTTAAAGTTGCCAAGGTTGAGAAACACTGTGTTAAAACATCTGTGCATGCATTCCTCAACTCCTTCTCTTAGAGTTGAACTACATATTGCAATGCTCTTCTGAGAATTGCTGATATAAAAATAAAACACCCACAATCAATCAGCTATAAGGTTACACTATGTCACAAGATCTTGCTCTGGATTCCAAATCATCCAATATGAATTAAAGAAATCTCTATTTTCTCTGTAGTATTTTTCAAACCAATGAACCACCCTATGATTTTCGTCCCTTTTTCTCTTTATTTACGTGTACATGCCTCACTCCAGCAATCAAATGTAATCCCGAGCGAAGTGGCAGGGCTTTGTTCTTAAAACCCCATATTCATCTGTTTCCTAATTAAATGATAGGATATTTTACTGATGAGTTCACCAAGATATTCATTTGTTATATAAACCAGGGCAATGTCACAGTCAGCTACATTTTCTGTGCTGTTAATCTAGGATAAAGTAGTAGGCAATTATATCCAGTTATGCAGAACTTAATTTCGGCACGAGACATGCAAAAAATAGTTGTGTAAGTATTAACTTGGGCTAGAATTCAATTTTAAAAATTACTCCCATAATTTTAATTACTTTAGAATTACTTTAAAACTGCCCAGTCGGTTGTTTAAAAAAATTTAAAATTACTCCCATAATTTTAATTACTTTAAAGTTTAATTACTTTAAAATTACTTTAAATCTGCTTGGAGGTGCTAGGTGTTGGGGGGGGGGTCAGATAGATTCAATAAATTATTGTTATTTTAAACTATAGATGCTGACAAACGTTCCAAAGAAAAACAACAACACTGATTCTTGCTAAATTCCGCAAAACCTCTTGTTTGTTTAATAAATTTTGCACTATTTCCTGTTTCACAAATGGTTGTCTTAAAGCAGTGAATGCCATGAAGCTTTTTTCCATTGAAGTACATAAAAGGCAGGACAAGAAACAATGGATGGAAACTAATCAAGGAGAGAAGCAATCTGGAATTAAGGAGAAACCTCCTAAGTGAGAACATTTAACTTGTAGAGCTTGCCGTCAGAAGCTGTGGGTGCTTCATCACTGGAGGTTTTTAAGAAAAGACTGGATAGTCACTTGTCTGAAATGGTATAGGGTCTCCTGCTTGAGCAGGCAGTTAGACTAGAAGACCTCCAAGGTCCCTTCCAGCTCTATTCTGACTGAAATTGGCAAGGTCTTCCAACTGCTTCCCTTCCCTTGCAACTTGGCACATAGCTCAAGAGTTTTCCCAACTCTTAAGGAACAGTTCTTCTATGAAAAACAGAGGGAGCTCAAAAAATTATGACATATCTTTCACACCCAACTGAAAGTTGGAAAGAAATTACATAAAGGGGCTCAAGAAAACTGTCTTTCTGTCCATCTGTGTGTCTATCAGCAGAATAACTGACCAAATCCTGAAAAGCTGATACAGATACTCCTCAATTTACGACTGTAGAAGCCAGAATTAGAGTTGTAAGTCATGCCAGTTGTTAGGCAGGTCACCGCACCCTATTTTACAACCCTTTTGGCAGTGTGAATCATTGCAGTTGTTAAGCGAATGCTATAGTGTCTGCAACAGAAGTTTTTTAACCAGAAATCAGAAGTAAACACTGGTTTTCAGCAAGAACTTAACCAGTAAAAACAGTAAATCACCATCATGTGAATAAATATGAGCTAGGTCCCAAGTGCCCAAATGCGATCATGTGACTAATGGAGGGGGCAACCATCAGAACTTCCAATTTGTGTCATAAGTAGCCTTGGAGAGGTCTGTTGTAATTTTTGGTTGTAAGTCGAGGACTACATGCAATGGCGGGAGAAGCTGGCAAAAGAAAAAGCAAGGGAAGATCTGGTTTGATGCTATGCAGAAAAATATTCCAGAAAAATCCCCCCAATTCATCCCATAAGAGAAACCTCTGGGGGAAAATTTGGAATGCTACTGAACCAACCCTCCATTCTAAGCCCTCGCCCTTCCTCCTTCCTGTCATGTGACTCAGAGCATGTGCAACCCAGCCTGTGCTTCCCAGTGCTCACAGATAAATACACGAAGATACATGACAAAGGAAAGACACACAAAAAGAGTCAACACGTAAATCCATTACACCAGTGTTTCTCAATCTGAGCAACTTTTAAGATGTGTGGACTTCAATTCCCAGAAATTCCCCGGTCCTCTAGGAAATACATTAAGAGCTGAAGTTCACACATCTTAAAAGTTGCCCAGGTTAAGAGCAGAATTTAAAAGATGAATTTTCCCTACGAATTTGCATAAAATTTGACACTGGTTTTTTTTATCCTAACGCTTCAACTACTTTTACAACCCATCAAGAAGAATGCAGAGAAGAGATTCTGTCCTCTCTGTGACATCCCTTATTTAAGATAAATTGCAGAATTTTTCACTTCACATTATTTTCTCTTGGTCGATGCTGTACCTGCTTAATTTTCAGCAACTAGATATATTTACTGTTACTTCTTTTACTGGCATATATTTCTGAAAGAAAATTGGAGAGGATGACTCATATTCATTCAGCCCTCTCCAGAAACTTGAACACCTTGGGTATGCATAAAGGAATAGGAACAAAAGAATAATAGGGCCTATTTTATTGTAAGTGTTTAAATACCTAACTCCCATTTTACATGGTAGGAACACCGAATTGTACAGCTCTTGGAGGGTGAAATCTTTGTTTCCAGATTATCTTCAATTTGGCTTTTTGCAATTAAATTCAAATATCACAGTAACTGTAATATGTAATATTATACAAGCCATTGAAAAGTCAAGTGAAATATTACAAAAACTATAACCTATAGTTAACTGTTTAAAGATTGCAGTTAAATATTCCCTATTAAAATAAAGGACAATATGTAAAATAAACTCAACTGCACTGTTTACACGATCTCTATTAAAACACCTCAACACCTTTTGGACTTCTGCATGATTGTAAAAAAAAATAAAATAAATTCAGCTGCTTTAAGAGCCACATGCCAGGTAATGAGTAGATTTCTTAAAGCATGGCTTCATTCTTCAACCGCGTTTGAACATGTGTAAATAGAAAATAATAAGCCAAAGGAAATATGCCATAAAACACAAAAAAGGAAATGCAGTTAAATCTGTTTCACCAT